TATTGCCAAGTTCTGAGAACCATGCAACTAGGTTTTATTCATATCACAAAACCATAATCCCCTTTATTCAGTCGTACTGGATAGGCAGCCTTGTTTGGCAGACAGACTGAGTCAGAAGAAATAATGGACACTGCCTATTCAGGCAGTGGCTCATCAACCTTATCACACTAGTCTCAGAATAAATTGAATTCAAAAGGCCTTGGGAGGTTGTTGGGTCCTCCAACTAGACTGTAAGCAATCCATTTTCCACAGCAGCTGTGTCTACTCTACTGTATTAAAATACATGTGCTTATTTTTTTTTATTACAGCTTACAGCATAGCTTCATGTCAGCAGGTAATAACCTTAGCCACTTAATATTTCAGTGTATTGGAACATTCATACCGTGTCATTATGAAGAGAATTCTAATAGGTAACACAGTGCCAGTCAGTACGACTGAAGCATCGCAGGCCACTGTCAGGACTGTAGCTAGGATACAGTGTTTAATTTTAGAGAATTTAATAATGTGAATTGCAAGTTAAATACGTGGCGTCAACAATTTCTTGTGACCTCCACTAGCTGCTATTTTTACTTAACTTGAGTTAGGATGATGACTGCAATATAACATGAGATGGTCTAAATACTGCATCTATTTTTAAAGAAACAACAGTAAAAGTGCTTCAATGGGTCTTAAATATTAAAAAAAAAAAAAAATAAAATAAAAAAGGACCCGCCATCTTGACTGTACTGTTTATTCAAGACCCAAGACACGTATCCCTGGGATATATTTCCCAATTTAAAAAAAAAAAAAAATTAAAAAATCATCAAGCTTCCACCATTGAAAAAAGTTCCATTATGTCACTCTACATTTTTAAATGCTTTATTGCTACTTGCAAGGATTACTCCAAAGGCTTATTAGTCTCACTTTCACACATACAATGTGCAATTACTTAAGGAGAGCTCCAATAAGCACGCTTCAAAGCATTTCACTTCATGACAGAATAAGATCATTATATGACATGTGCCTTTCACCTTTCCAATATTTGATGTGTGTGTATTCTTCAGTATTCACAAGGCATCAAAAAAAACTATAGATCTTTTAAGTCTTTACTCATACTTCTTGGCTCTAATCATCGTACCAACCAGTACAAAGATGGTAGGTAACAGAGTATCCTGCTTCGGGAAGACGGACTTTTATTATTCCATTTGTTTTCAGAATATTATTTACCAAAAGGAAAAAAGCATATGTAGAGCTAGACAGAACACGCATGCCAGTACCCACACTACGTTTAACAACAAAATTACAGTGACTTTCCTAAGTCAGTTTAAGCACCTAAGAAACCTAATCAATTAGCCTGGATTAAATACCATCAGAAGTCTGAGCCTGAGTCAGACCTAAATCCTATATAAAGTTCTGGACATACCACAGATAAAAACTGCAGAGCAAAAAGATTTATTCTGTTTAACATCCCACTGTCAGTGTCTTTAAAAAAAAAAGAAAGACTCCTGACAGAAAAATCACTAAATTTAAGTAACAGTTTTTAATAGTCTCCTCTGAAGGAAAAAAAAAAACCAAAGAAATGAAGTGGAGGGAGGAATGTAATGCTAGGAAAGAAAATTAATTAATTAGAAAGAAAAAAATTAATTAATTACTGAGACATGCCAGGATACAGGTACATCCAAAATACAAGATATTTACGCATGACTGGAAAGATAGATTTTTCAGTGTCTTTTCTACTCATCAATGCAATCACAACTGAAAGAAAAATATCCCTATGGATGTTTTTTTTCATACCATACAACTTACAAATTACGTTTGGAAGAACAGCTGGGAAAAAAAGTAAGTATCAGTGTGCTTCAAAAATTATTATCTTCTGCTGCCCCCTAGTGGCACTGTAACTTGTTTCACAAAATTAATTAAAGAATATTTTCAACTGTAGGCTTCATAGACTACAGAACAGAAGGTATTAACAGAAATTAAAAGCTAGAAGGAATTAGTTTTGCAGACAACTGCTACAAGCAGCTCTTATTTACTCCAAATTTTTTAAACCAAAACCCACAGGAAAACACTGTGATCTAGTGTTTTACATTACAGATTCTTCTAAGAGATTGTGTGACAAAAATATAGCCAAAAATATTTATGGGCCTGGCCGTGATACTGTATTTTAGAAATTCTGTTACTGAACTAGTTAAGACTTTATTTAAAGACTTTAAAAGCAGTTGGAAGAAATAGCTTCCAACCACTCCAATCCCAAATTTAAAAAAACCAAAACAACAACAGCAAAAAAACCCCACCATACTCCAGATATGCCAATTCTACTATAAAGTAAAAGCATTACTGGACAACACCCAAGTTTTCTTGATCTTACTTTACCATAAATCAAAAATGCAGGAGTTGCAATTTACGTTCTTAAGCAGGATAAAACGCAAGTGAAATGCTACCCTAGGGAGCACAGTGGTCTTATCCACTCAAAAATCAATCATTATCTTTCATATTAGATAAGGCTTTGCAAAGCTGTAAAACAGATGTGCGAACACATCCACAATTGTTAGTCAAAGGTTTTTCATCCCCATTCCCAAAACAATTTCTCTCTTGACTTTCATATTTACTTTTGTATCACAAAATAATTTGATTTCAAAAGTAAACAGTATTTGGCATCCCAGTTTTAATTACGGTTTAACACAGTCTCTTAATTAGCTGAGATATTTAATTTAGCTTTCATTCTATGCAATTATACACTCTCATAACCCATGAAAATTTGTAATTATCTCTAACCTCATTAATGAGGACTACTAAACTGCAGTTCCGTTCATTTTTATCAAGTTTCTAGAAGAAACACAAGCTTCTCATACTAACTGTAGCAATCGAAAACAAGTGAAGTTTGCTACTCGACACTTAAGAGTTCACTGAGAAGTACATTCTCAATTATCCACATCTAAAACTGCATTAGCATATTTACTTAGGGCAGAGTATTTATTTAAAACTATTAGACATCTCCCTTGGTTTATTTTCAAATATTTATTTCATGCTGTTAAGTTCACTAAATAAATCTCTTTGCAGGACTGCTTTACTTTAAGGACACAGAGAGCCTATACATTTCTCCAAAATGAAAGCCCAGTGTAGGTAGAACCTTCCTTGATCTTTGTATCAGATTAACAAACAGAAAATACCCATAAAGCTTCTGCTACAGAAGGAGTTTGCTTTCAGTATCAGTCACCACCCTGCCACCAGCTCAAACAGCTTGCTCAGATGTACTCCCTGTTTCTGGAAGGTCTGGCTACTGAAAAAGTCACATAAAAGGAAATGGAGACGACAGCCCGGTGAAGCAAGGGGCAGGCATCCAGCCCAGCCCACGACCTTCAGGACAGACTCCCTGCCCCAATTTTCTCTCTAAATCTGTCCCTCAAGCAATCACAGAAGGCTGTATTTAAGAGGCTGCTCAAGACAGACCCTTAAGGTTGCAAGGCTAACATCCTCATCAGAGTGACATTTTATTAAAAGCATTATGGAAAAGAAGGGTTATTTGTCTTTATGTAGCTGCTTCCCCTCTCTAAACCTACTTACAATCGCTCTTCTGAGTGCCTAATGAGAATCGGGAAAAGCCCTGAGGATTATAACTCCGGGGAGGTGCTTTAACTCAGTGACACAGCTCGGGAAGAGCTCAACAAGCCTCCTAGAAACTGCCAATTAAACAGTGCCAAATACATTCATTTTCCTTTCCACGATGACAGTGTGCCATAAAGACAAAATTATAAACCTTTTGTGGAAGCCACACAGGATTTAAAAAAAAAAAAAAAAAAAAAAAGTGGAGGGCGTGGGGAACACCCCTCATAATTCTCTCAGAATTCTAAGCCTATATGCTTTCCTCTCAACCGGTATGCATAAGATTACATCCAGATTTGATTTTAGCCAAATAGCTACATGTTTTATCTAATTATATACAAGATTCACTGATTTTGCTTATAGATTTTTTTTTTCCAAAAGCATTAAAAAACGTATTATCCCCTTCTACTACAACAGGTAGATAGGAAAATGCAGAGCACAGGACAAAATGGGGCAGAAATGCTACCAATTACAATGAAAACATGGCTAGAACTTCCACATTCTGGAAAAGGGCTGGAAGTACACACTCCTATTACAGTCACCAAAACTTAATGCCACCTGATCACAGAAGACAGATTTCAAATTCCTAAAGTGCAGAGTGCTGAAGCCCTATTCCAAGCAATTGCTCTGTCATTAGGTTTGACAACTGCCTATATTGCAAACCCTACTACAAATAAATTAAATTATGTACAAGATAAAATGCCAGGCCTTGCATTTCGTCCTTCAGATAATTGCATAAAGTTTTTGATCTACCGAATTACATGCAGCAATAGCTGCTGTTTCTCTTAAAAATCTACTTCAGAGATCAAGGACTAGGTTTTCAACAGTGTATCTGGTTAACTCCCTTCCATCATAAAGGCCTAGCCACAAATATTTGAACTAAAGCTATCCCTAAGAATATAATCCTACAAAAGACTTAGAAAATTAAAAACTTAACCTGTAATGAACATTATTTGATTGCTTCCTCCTCAAATTAAAACAAGGAAGAAATATTTCCATTCTTTTGAAGAGTCTTCAATGACACAAAGAAATTGGATCCACAGCCTAAAGCCTTATTTATCTATAAATGGCAGTGGCAAAACAAGCTTTTCCACCCACAAACATGCTCAACAGTCTCTGAGGTAATCTTGCCAAGTGCAAAAGAATATTTTTGCTTCCTCACTATTAATCTTCCCTAATCAGATTAAACAACTGAGGGTATTTTTTCTGTCTGCCGTAAGGAGTCTCTGAAGCTCACTAAGAAATGATTAAGTCAAACCATCACTCTTCAGTAATCAAAAGGCTCTTCTGGTGATAACAACCCTTCTTTCTTTCCAATTTGTATCCTGATTTTTTTCAAGTGAGTCTTTAGCCACTAATCCATCCCTATAGCGATCTAGTTTTAAACATTAAAATATTAATCAAAAGTGAAAACAAACCTGGCTGTTCTTCCCACTCTGTGGATGTAGGTGTTTGCATCTTCTGGACAATCAAACTGAATAACCCAGTTCACTGCTGGAAAATCTGTGCAAAGAATGAAATATGTCAAAATTTAAGCTCACTGAACTCGAAATCCTCCTACTCAAGAGCAACATATTATTTTGGAGCATTAATTCCTGTAAGAGCCACCATTTAGACCAATTTGCAGACACTGGGTGCAGCCTCCAAAATACAAATAAAATTAATTGCATGTATTAGCATATCATAAACAATCATTCTCTTCATCAAAGAAAGCTAAAATTAATGGTGTCTTCATTTCCTAAATTAAAACAGTGCACTGAATGGAACAGAATTTCACACTTGACCAGAACAGACATGCTTTCTGTCACACAAACGATGAAACACTACTATGTTTAATAATTAAATAACAGTGTCTGTCCCACTTTTCACCTACAGTATCAGTATCCTACACCATCAGAGTTTGAAGTTAGCTGTGGCGAGACAGCCCTACTTCAGCTGTCCACTTACAGAAATATCATAGTCCCTCTCAAAGACACGAGAGGGTGACCAAACCTGACAAAGAAGGCAACATTGAATGTGAATGATATTATTAACAAGCATTTTCTAACTACTGCAGTTCACCCAGCAGCAGCATGCCTTGCATTAGAGTAAGTTCGTGTTACTTCCTGACCAAGTCTGCAGTTACGCTGTATTCCACAATTATACCTACGCTCTAAACCCAACCAACCATACCCACATTAGATCCTCACTACTGAGATTTCAACAGTATAGAAGGTATAATAAACAGTTTTCATTTCTGCCTTCAGTTTCTAGAGTACCTTCCTTCCTTTTGTAGCATACTGACAAAACCTTACATTTTGGACAATGGAGTTTGCTAGCTGAAAGAAGAACGAGTGGACTCCTGAAAACAGTTTTGTGTCATACCCAAATGCCTCCAAGTACTAAATAAATAAATAAATAAATAACGTCCAAAGTATCTACTGAAAATAAAGTTGTAAATCATAATTCAGCAGGTAATAACCAGAGGAAAGAAACTCAAGCCAAAACAGGTCCTATAAATATTCTTGCTTTTTCCCTCATCTATTTCTCTGCCTCCTTAAGCATACAGTCCTATAATGCCATTTGTAGTTCAGATATTAAAACTTCTTCAGGTTTTTGTTTCCACATACTGGTAGGTTAGCAATTTTTCATATCCTTTGGAATAACCCACAGGATACAGCCACATCAGAAATACTTAAAACTGCTGAAATCTTGCCTTATGGCGTGTAGTAAGCAAATACATCACTATTTCCATTTTCTCTCATTCCAGATATTTGTCACAGAACATGGCTGGAAAAATGAGATTGTCTACAGACTGACATAAATAAATGACAGCTTCTACTGACTACCTCTAACAAATGCCATTACAAAACTAGTGACAGCACAGGTCTTTCTGGGACAAAAAGAAAAAATAAACGGACCTCTTCAGTAAAGAAACAGCAAAACTCTCAGAAGCATACCTCTTCTGAGATACCCTAATGAGCTCTTAAGCAAACTACAGCTTCATTTCTTACAAATCAGGGTGCTCTTCAGAGTATAAAGTCTGATAAAGTCTCAATAGGGTTAGATCATCACACTGCAAATAACTATGGTTTCTGCTGGTACATACCCAGGCCACGAGCTGCAATATCTGTAGCAAAAAGTACTGCCGCCTTTTTCCGAACAAAACAAGTGTAGACTTCCATTCTCTTCATCTGGTGCTGCTTGCCATGGAGTGCTAATACAGGAAGACCAGGCTGAAGCTTACAGAACACTCTGAATAAATACTGGACCTACCCAACAAACCAGGGTGGGGAAAAAAAAAATTACCATGCTATGTTACAACTTGTTAAGATCCTATCCAGTATATAGCAAGTGACTTAGTATATCAAACAAACTACACTTTTCCCCACATCAGAGACAAGAGATGCTATTTGGAGACTTTGTCACATGCCCACGTACTAAAAGAAGAAATGAACTGTGGCAGAAGATTGGCAAGCCTTTTGATGGCATCTCCTAAAAGGAACAACTTGGGACATGACTAGCTAGGCTGCATGCAAACAACCAAAGTATCAAAAGTCCGTCAGAAGCACAGCTTTTAGACAATACCGGAGGGGTGTAGTGTCCTAGGCTTACGACTCAAAGCGGTCTACACAGTCTTGGTTTAATATTTCAAGCTTCTACAGCTTCTCTTGTAAAAGCAGTCTGTTCACTCTTACGTACAGTACTATATTGCAGCATTATTTTATAGCAGGCAGCTATCTGATTTTTTTTAAAGAAAATAGTTACAGAAACTGTGTATATTGCAGGAACAGCTACAGCTCAGAGAATTTCCATACAACTAAGCCTACCACCTCACTGTACTCACCAGCCAACCGCGGAACAACAAAAATATTGTAACCTCTTGCACAAGTGGAAGAACTCCAATGAATATTTACTAGACCGTTAGATGTTGTAAAATATTTGATACAGGCAGTAGTTATAGAAATGCACCACACAAACACAGACAAATAACGTCAATAGAATAGTCCCAGAACATTTATACAAGTAGATATTTGAAGGATTACTTCCTATATAACTGTAAGAAAACCTTTCCCTGCACTATTTCGCAATTATAATTTCTTACATAGGCAGATTTAAAAGCTTGTAAAGAAAGCAGGTACAACTATTAAAATACTTTGTAACCCAACAATTAAATGTGTCATGAGACAAAACTGAAATAGCTGGCCCTTAGTGACACAACTTTTAGCATTCATTTTTAACAGCAGAGCACAAAAATGGCTGAGTACACCGAGGTCTCCAGAACCTTCCTGCAGCGACCCTGGGTTCCTGAGCTTCCCAGCAGCCAGGCCCTGCATGACGTGCCTACAGGAGTAGGTGATGTTTGGTTCCTCTCCCAATTTCCTGTTGCAAACTAGTCCAGAAACTCACCTCTCTGGTGTCTTGACATTTACATGAATACCTTCTTTTTAATAGTTTTAAAACACTACAGGGGAAGGAGGGGAATAGCCATACCTCTTTACAGCTTGCAAAAAAAACAATGCTCTTCTTTTTCAAGTGACTTCTCAGGAAAGAGTATAACATGTTTACTTTTTGCTGAAGTTCACATACAACATAGTTCTGATCCAAAGTTGCCGGGGTACTGGGGGGGGAAAAAAAAAACAAACAAAAAAAAAAAAAACAACAAACAAAAACCCCACATTTAGATACTGTTAGTTCCTGTAACATTGAAATGAGAAAGAAAAGAAGGGAAGGGAGAAAATATACAGGCATACAGTATCTACAGAGCTGTCTGGCTTTTCTTTTAAGTCAACAGTATGTGACAAATACCCAGAAAAAGGAGAAAGGAGTCAGGCTGGAAAGTTCCCCACTTTGAGGAACAAGTCTTAGCAGCTCCACTAGAAAGCTGCTGTTGAAAGACAAATGAGTTTCCTTACTGAAAGCCAGTGGGGAGGGATGGACGACTTTTGACATTACTTCAAAATTCATTTACTACTAGCACGCCAAACTCCTTCCATGTCTAAGCAGTGACATTCAAATTGCCTTGACTTAAAATGCAATTTTGTCTATTAGTCCTATTAAAGCATCATTTGTGCTTAAGGCAGTGTCAAAGCGCAGTCTAATCATGCACAAAAAAAGAGCATTGATCTACTTCTACTGATTACATCCTGACATGCAAAGTGACTTTCTAAAGCTCTAAACTGTCATCTTAATTCACCTTTCCGTTCTTTACAGAATAAAATAAAATTTTAAAAAATTCTTTGGCATCTTTGCCCTTGAAATACATCTCATCTCTTGCAGTCCCTCTGCTTCACCCTAAACAGATCAAAGGTGGCCACTTGGGAGGATGAAGTTACGAGACACCGCTCCAGTTTTTATTCTGCTATTAAATTTGAATTATGCCACAGCACCTTTTGCTTTTGTAAGTCTTTCAGAGGAAACTGTTTTCGAAAGGCAATAATCTATTACATACTAAGGCAGTCAATTCTGAAACATATGAATACTTTCCTTTTTTTGACTCAGTTTATTATCTAATCACAGTCTCCCAAATATTTAAAATAATTAAATGTGCTTTAAAATAGACTTCACAAAAAATGCGAGATCTATGAAACCGATGTATAGTCAGTCCTCAAAATGAAGACTACACACTAGGCTTGTACATTCTCTTCTGCTAAGAGGATATTAACCACACAATTTTTTCTGGCAATCATGCTTATTTAAGATGCCTCTGATAATACTACTGATTAAGAAAAGGTATTGGTAGTACGATATGGAGATAATCAAATCAAATTGAACTGCCTCAAGATTCAGCCTGGTTCTGCTGTTCATTTTGCTGACGGTTTCTCGTCTGCTCTTGGGAAAGCCATTTTTATCAGTGTGCTTCACCTCTCTCCTTCATCTTACATATGCAAATACATGCATATTTCATAGAAGAGCAAAAAAGAATCATATATGTTCATAAGAACTTTGACATTTAGACGACTGAGCACACAGAAATGCAAAATATTAAATAATGTTCTTCATTTAGATTTCAAAAGAAAAAAATGTGCCAAAAAGCAACATGTACTTTTTTTCTTTTAGTGACACATTAAATGTTTTGAGCTTGGCAGATCACATACTTAACTTCTAGCAAAGGCCTCCCATTCTGATCCAAACTGTATGACATGATAAAGTTATTTTGTGTGCACAGGACTGGAGTCCTGAATATGCACAGTAAAATCAGCATGTCGGGAAGCCACGAGACTTACTGCACATGGCGTAATGCCACATGCTTTCCTCTGGGCACCGAATATTGAATACACAAACAAGACTGATATTCTGCACTTTCCCAACAGGGTACCATTTCCTTGGAAAGCCAGATTTATCAACGGCACACAAATAATCGTATTTGTGTAACACATCTGGTGGTTCTGCACAGTAAGTATGCACATGCAGGAGGCAAGGAAACCAAACAACAAAAAAAAAAAAGGAAGAATTCAGAAATGAGTGCTGCTAGAGCCAGAACACCACTCCATTCAGGCTATAACTCACTCTGGGGCTTGCTCCTGAGGAAAAAAATTTCCAGTCTGACAAGCAGCCTGAGGAACCACACGAGAAGTGCAGGTTCAGCCTCCCTGTAAGGATTCAGTCAGAACTAGTACCCTCTTATCTGGAAATTCCTTCCTTTCTGGAAGGCACACAACAGGATCAGACACTGTAGGAAGGAAGAGGATGCACAGCGTAACTTCTGATTCAGGGAACTGACTGACAGAGAAGCAGTTAAGTAGCATCACTATCGGTTTAACCCTCCCAGAAAAGAAACGTTACCCCAACATACCTGAACTTGGCTTTCTCATGAACCCACACATATTCTGGATCTTTCAGACTCAGCCGTGCAAGATCTTTCACTGATTTTGTTTGTGTTGCAGAAAAAAGCAAGGTCTGGCGTTTCTTAGGTAGATTTTCTAAGATTGCATTCATTGTATCAGCAAATCCCATGTCTAGAATTCTATCAGCTTCATCAAGAACTGAATTGAGAGAGAGATTTGAGAAAATTCAGTTTTAGCTTTATTTATTTAAAAAAAAACCCATACATTATATCCTTATAGTACAAAATTCTGTGCCTACTTAAACTGCAGAGATTAATTACTGCATAGGACAGGTTTCTCTTAGGTATTGTCCTGGTTTGGCTGAAACAGAACTATTTCTGCTTTCAGTAGATTTTTTTTTTTTCCTTCAGTTAAGTTTTCTCAGTAACTGCCCTGTCTGAAGCTGACTCCAGGTCTCAGGCAGTGCCTGCTGTCAGAGCTGATGGCAGTTAATGTCTGTAGTTGTTGCTGGGGCAGGAGCGGGATCGTTATGCAGAAAGGCCCATGGGTGGGTGCTTGTTCCCTGTGGGCTCTCTTGGGCTGCGCTGGGCTCCTCCTGGGGGGAAGGTGGAGGAGGGGTCGCACGCCCAGGAAGGTGCAGAGGGGACCGGTGACCCAGGCCTGGCCAAGGCAGTATTCCATCCCACCCACGGGAATACTCGGTATAAAGCTCGGGGATCACAAGGGTCAGCCTTCGTTCCCTCATGGCCGGCATCCTGGCGGGACTCTGCTCGCTCTCCTGCCTCCTTGTATATTTCTATTATTAGTAGCATTAGCTTTAACATTATTTATACTATTTTTCACTGTTATTGTTTCATTAAAGTTTGGTTTAAGTTCCAACCCATCGGTCTCTCTCCCTTTTCTCCTCTCCTTCCCCCTCTGGGAAGGGACAGGGTTAACAGAGAGCATCTGCCACCCGCTTTAAGTGCCCGCCCAGCCTTAAGCAGTGACAGGTATTCATGTACTCCATAAAACATGTTTTTAAAAAAACTGCAATAGAAATCATAGCATTTCCCATAATCTATGCACTACAGCCCTCCGTTTCACATACTGAAGCATAAAAGATCAGCATTTCAAGTAAACAGTTCAGCAATTTGCAGACAGACTGCAAATTACAAACTCCCTCTCCTATTGCTGAAACAAAAGCACGGAATATAAAACAGTGCTGTACTATTCATGACAGAGCAAAACAGACTCTCCTGCACCTAAGTTGAATTTACTACTGAAACACAGGGTATAAACAGAGGAGCACAGAGACAAAGCTTTAAGAAAGAAAAGGGTCTACATTTAATGCAATTCTTGTCTAATTGCCATGAATTGTACTAAGTGTAGCAAGTATAATTTCACATTTTATCAGCTTGAGTAGCTTCTCAATGGCTTCTACGTTCCTCAAGCTATGCTAAAGATCACACAATTCCTAGTGGCAGGCAAACCTTTTCATTACACTAAAATTTTTATTCAGGTTGGAAGGATGACAAGAAACAAAGCTAACAATGCTAACAAAACAATGAAAGGAGCAGCAATCTCTCTTGAAATTCAAAGAAAAGTGTTTTCTAGAACTGGCCCAAAATACACACACTGCAATGGACATTCCATAAGTTAATTACCATGTCAGGAAAAACACAAGAGCCACATCCAGAAAGGAAAGGCCAGTGTTAGCCAAGACAGAGCTAAAGGATTATATGAAACACTACATTTGGTTTTGGGTTCCTTACTAACTCACTTACTTGTTCTTATCATCCTAAGGAAGGCATGTTCAGCAACTGTTTCAGAGAAAGTACACACAAGAAATGGGTTTTGTTGTTTTCTATTTTAATTTGTATGTGCGTGAACTTAAATGTCATTTTATCTACATACCACGACTAGGACAAACTTTTTACCCAAGGAAGTGCTCCACACAATTATGAACTGTTACAAAATATTTCTGAGTACTTTCCAGTACTTAAAAAAACTTACTCAACATTTGCAGATCAGATGCATAGAAATATGAAGTTTCATCCATGTGCTGTAGAAGCCGTCCTGGAGTGCAAATCAGCATATTTATGTGGTGGATTCTTTCAGACTCTTCTTTCAGATCCTGAAAAGGAGTTAAATCAGCTTAGCTCTAGTTGTTCACTCTAGAAGCCCAGTACCAGAGATGGTTAGGTTAGCTTAACCTATTGATAGTTTTTAGAAAGAATAGTCAAGGATCAGCCTTTCCTCTTTCTAGAAAGATATCACAATTTCTTCAGCATGCTCACAACCATGGCTTGAGCAAAAAGTATTTCAGAATAATCCAAATGAACAGGATAGTCCTGGAAGGCATGGCAGGAAGGTCCATCCAGTCATGTAACCTGGAAAGACTGTAAATATGCAAAAGCTTCAAAAGACACAGAGTACACAGACAGGAAAACGAGGACACTGATAAGTTCCCATTAACTACGGTCTTCCCTGACTTTTTATTTCCAGGGTTTCCTTCCTAAACTAGCACTTAATAAAGCACTTATTTATGCTTCCATACAGCAAACTCCAAGAGAGGACCCACCTTTCCTCCAATGATAAGGCCAGCTGAGAACTCATGATTCTTTCCCACTTTACGTAGAACCTTGAAGGTTTGATATGCCAGTTCCCGGGTGGGTGATATTATCAAAACTCCCAGTCCATCAGCTGAAGTCCACTGATGGCGATACAGGAGCTCCAAAGCCTGAAAAAAATTACCATGTTCTCACTATAAAAATCTCAGAAGAAAAATATGTAACAACAACAAATTTATAACAAAAAGTGTCATAAAAAAATAAAGCCACACTAATTAAAATAATGACTTGAAGAAACTTCAGTATACTTTTCACATAGTTTGATTACATATCAGTTCTAATTGATGGTAATGATACTTGCTGTAGCAAAGTTCCCCAGTATCAACCTATGACAGACAGTGACGGGTGGTAAATCGTAAACATTTTACTGCACAATTAATCCTACTCTGCTAAATTCTGGAAATTAAGCCTTAATCATTCATACGAGAATAGAAATCAGTGTAGAAAAACACAAGAAACTTCCCTGCTCATAAGGTTTTGTGGGAACCAGAAACAGAATGAGCAACTGGAAAAAAGTCAATTACTGCAACTTTAATTCTGGTTTGACTTGAAGCAGTACTATCCACACATGCTACATACAGAGCATTCCAACTAAAGTTGTCATACACTTCAAACCAGGATTATTTCTCCTCTTACGAAGTCACGCTGGAGAAACACTGTCTTAGCTAATCCTAACACAAAGTTTTCATAGGTACGAATACATGAAGCATTCTGAAATACTGAAAGCTGTTAAGCATCCTTGTACAATTCCTTTTTTTTTTTTCCACTTTTCATCTCTCCAGCTCCTCTCATCACTTCTCTCCTCTAAAACTGTTTTAAAATACGGTTTGTAAAACAAACTATTTCTACTCCTAGATTAACAAATTGAGCCATCTCATTTTTGCTTCTCAAGTTCGCAAGACTACCTTTTGAAGCCACCTACATTTTTTTTATTCTTTGCTAATAAAAAATAAATTTAAAAAAAAACAGCATAAAGTATAAATCTTGTCAACTAGAGAGAGTATTCAAATCATCTACTACTGTTCCCACAGTTACTGACAGAATAGGCTCCAAAGAAATTTATGCTCACAAAAATGCAAGTAATGTTTAAACCAAAAAATTTCCATAATCAAAATATTCATTTTTTCCTTTATCTAATCATAACATGATGGAGTTTGTATCCACTTATATGTGCACTTCAAGCAAACGTCTCAATTATACTTCCAACTTGAAGAAATGAAATGCAGACCATGATGTTTTGAGTAAAACAGTCAAATGTGTTATCCACGACAGGGGGCTTCATTCTGTTTTCCCACTTGCACCTGGAAGTGATTTTTAAGGAGTTCACAAAAGACAACAAGGAAATGGAAGTCCACAGTCACTAAGCTTAAGTTTCCTATATGAGGTCCAAATCATAAAATTTTTAAAAGGGTGAAAACCACTCAACTAAAAAAAGTCTAAGTAACTGAAGAAATTTCACCATTCTATTTCATACACTGAGTTTTCAAATTTTAGAAGAACTGGACAACTAGAGTTGCACCAGGAAAACAGATTCCTGAGAAAAAAACAAAGCACTTCCCAAATCACACAGGGTCTACTAATGTAAGGATCAAAAAGGAATTCCTAAGTGCCAGAATATTCCTAAGGCCAAAAATACACCTCTTTTAGAACCTCAAGCAGCTTTATTAAATTAGTATCTTGGCTTTCTTGGAACATTTAGATCAGTTGAATTATAACTTCTCTCCCAGGATCTATTAACCTAAGCTGTTTGACATCCAATATTTCATTAATAACTTGGTTTGAGCAGAAATGGAAGGATGTAAATTACTTACTGGGATAATAAAAGCCAAGGTTTTGCCTGATCCAGTCTTTGCAGCTCCAAGTACATCTTTACCTTGTAAAGCCAAACCTATGGTTTGCCTCTGTATCTCTGTTACCATGCGATACTGAGCTTCCTGCAATCCTAGTATTGGCAGTGTGGGAGGGGAAGAGAGAGTGTGGGAGGGGAAGAGGAGGGGAAAAAAAAAAAAATCTTTATTTTTTTTCTTGCCCAGAGCTGTATTCCTCTGTTTAGAAAACAATGTACATGGCAATACTTATCTAAAACTTAGTTTAAAGCAAAAAAACATTCAGATGCAGATAAATAATACATTGATTTTTACTTAAATTACTTTCCAAAGAAAACTTTCGTACTCACCTTTTAGGGTTTTCTTTGACAATGGAAAATCTGAAAATCTTTGAATTTCACTTGCATTTATCTGAAACAAAATATATTTAACCAGTGCTTACAATCTAAGCATAACAGAGAAATTAAATAGCATTCTTTAAGTTGCTGTTAACATAAACATGTAGTAGTTCAGTATGACCTGATCCAAGTTAGCTGGTCAGGCAATCTATACTAGCTTGACCTAAGCCAAACTGCTCTTCTACCATACATGGTTTAGGAAGTAACAAGATCTATTTTAATCATGAAGGCTAATAGCACAATTTAAAGCTCAGATCATCATGAAATCACAGAACAATTTAGGCTGAAAGGGACCTCGGGAGGTCTTAGGTCCAATCTCCTGCTCACAGCAAGTCAGCGCCAAGGTCAGACCAGGCTGCTCAGGGCTTCATCCCATCCAGTCTTGAAATCGTTCAAGGTCGGAGACTGCACAGCCTCTCTGGGCAACCTGTGCCTCTGCCCAACCGTCCTCATGGGGAAAAAGTGATCCACACCAGCTTACGCCTGTTGTCCCTCATTCTTCCACTCTGTGCCATCTCCTCAATGATCTCCCCAGGGGCACTGGGGGCTTCTGTAAGGTCCCTGTCCCAGCCCTGAAGCCATCGCTGCTCCAAGCTGACAAGCCCAGTTCCCCCAGTTTCTCCTCACAGGACTAGTGCTCCAGCCCCCACCATTTCAACAGCCCTCCACTGAACTGGATCCACTTTATTGATGTTTTTTTCTTATTGGGGGGTCCAAAACTAGATGCAGTATTCTTCAGGGAACAACCAAAAAAAAAAAAAATTTTTTTTAACTCACCTTTTAAAAGGATACTACAGTAAGCAAGCAAGGTCCAAACTTTCTACAATGCACTGTGCCACAAGCCCCAGAGCTAACCTGCAACTAAATCTCACTCTAAGCGTTTCAGATACATACAGTATCTCCAAAAATCAGAATTTCTGTAGCCTTTTTCTTCAAAACTGTCCCAGTCAGACTAACCGCCAACAGAGATATAATAAAATATCTATGGCAAAACACTAGCCAATTATTTCGTACTTCTGTGTGGCTGCAACAAGCACCGAGTTTATGATTAAGGCACACTAAGCATAAATTCATTTTCCTGGGAACATCCACAAAGGAACTGTTTAGTTTTGGAGGCTACCGCAAATGCAGTAATGATAGTCACATTCCCTAAAATGGAACTCAGAGCTCTTACCTCCCTTCTTTTTTAACCATTCTGGCTTAAGCAAAAAACATTACTATGCTGCAAAGTACACAGCCCTGATCTTCCTGAAAAAGGGACGCTCGCCTGCACTTGTAACAAGTTAACCCTCACAGCTCCTATCCATAACGGCAGACTCCATCACGCCAACACTGCTGGCAGCCTCCCTATAGCCTACAACTGTACCAGAGCTAAGCTGTCCTCTTCCCATCTGTATTTTCAGATCCCTCCAAACAAGGACGACGAAGTGGATTCCAACTGCCATATGAGATCAGACAGCACAAAAGCAGGGAAGTGTTCTGCAGGGTAAAGGCCTGGTAAACAAACGCTTCAGGAAATAGCTCCAGATAACAAACACATTTCTCCTCCACTCCACTTTTCCATTTTGATTCTACAGTGCTAGTGTCAAGATTTTTTTGCGTATACTTAGCATTAGGTTATGTGACTAAAGATTAATGACTGTGAACTCAAAGTCCCCACAAGAACCAGTGGAACAACGCTCTGGTGAAGGAGCCCCCCCAACGTCACCGCTGACCAGGGAGGTCAAGCACCCTGACTCAGCTGCTCCCTGGGCCCGCCAGAGGAGAGCTCAGCGTTCCTGGGAGAAGCCCACCGAGGTGTTGGTGGGGTCACCCCCTCCCCAGAAGGCCCTGCAGACTGGTGGGGGTCAGCACCCGCAGGGACGTGGGACTGACGGGGGTTGCAGGGGAAGAGCATTTGGGGACGCTGCACGACTTCTTATGAAGTGTTTTAAGGGGGTTGTGGAGACGTGCGAGACTTGTTACGGGATGTTTAGGGGAAGGATCAAAGGCAGGGAAAGGAAGGGATCAAGGTGGACTGGGGAGGAACCTGTGTGAGAAAAGAGGCAAAAGGGGATAAAAGGGGCTGGTCTGGGTAACAGCTGGCTGGTCAGTACCCTCGTCTGACTGAGCCCTGCGCCTGATCACCACAGCCCGCCCTACCATCTCACTAAATATTCGTATGTAATGATGTAATTAATTCTTTATTACTAATAATAATTCTTTCCATCCCCCTTCTGCGTGGGCACCCCCTCTATTCTCAGCCCGCCTAAGAGACCACCAGCAACCTTCACGGCAGACGAGCGGGCAGCAGCGCGAGAGCCGAGCGCTGGCAACTGGAGCGGGAACACGAACCACAGAGGCTGGAGGGGGGCGGTGCCCGCCACTGGGGAAAACCGGCCCGAACCTGGGGAAACCGGGCCTGAGGCCAGCTCTGGGACGGACTGAGGCCAGCTACCGGGGAGACCCATTTTCCATGTGTGAGTACGTATTTCACTAGAGGGCATTAATCCTGATCAGACCGAGAGGAACAGTACCTGCCATCCGTGCTGTTCACGTGTGTGCAAGCCTCGTGTCTGTGCATCTGCGCAGGTGCTGATACAGGCCCTGCTCTGTCTGCGTTCATCCGCGGCTGGACACGTGTGTGTGCACATATGTGCATCTACTGGGAATAACAGCAGGTTGGGCTTGGGCACCCAGAACTGCAGCAATCTTGCTTCTACCTGACTGGGACAAGAAGAGTCCACCTATGTCCTGACGCTCATCAGATTCACCAATCTCTAGCACTTGGTATACTTAATTTTTTAGAGCTGCCCTACAGGGTACAAGACATACTGAAAAAGTAGTTCATTGTCCTGACACCTACTAATTTGCTTCTTTGTATTTACCCACCTCTACACCATACTTGAGAGCTGTTAATTACACACACACAAAGCTGCCAAGAGCATGAATTGGCTCAATGATTTACAAAAACATTAAGATGTCAAGTAGAGATCTTAAGAAAAATGTAATACTTTCAAGTCTGTTCTAGCAGATAGGAGATCATCACAAGATCTTCCACCGGCAAAGTTCACAATAACCAACAGTAGCAGGACAGAGAAAAACAGAGAACTCGGGCCGGGGGGGGGGGAGAAGACAACTACTGCATCTGTAAAGCCTGAGTAGATGAAGGTAGACTACACAGCTTTGAATGCATATCAGTTAGCATCCATAAACTGAGATTTCCAAATGTCACAGAGCTTACACAACTTGTGCATTTCTAATAGCTATCATTTATCTCTAACAGACTGCTGAACAGAAATCTCCCAACACAGGGACCAACGGTTCTCAGATGGTCCTGACAACTTGTGATAACAATTCCAGAGAAGGCCTCAAATGAAGAGCTACTGAGCTGTCAGATCAGCCTTATACCAACTTGAAGTACCAAGCCTTCTACAGGCCCTGCCTATTATAGGAAACTGAGGGTTTATACCTATTTAAAGCACCTAGATCACAACACTACTCTTTTCAGCCTAGTTCTCTCCAGTAAAAACAAGGAAAGTAATTTTAGGCATGAATTTCATCTCTAGATAAAAGGTAATAACACCCTTATTAAAACCTGGTTTTGACATATTTCAAGACAAAGCTCTTGCAAGGTAGATTTCAAACTTTCACTGTGTCCTACCAGAGCAACTAACTTTTGCCGAACGTTACTTAGAAATCTTAAAGGTGAATTATTTTTATAAAACCTACTTGTGCTGAGAAGCATGTACTTTACGCTAGTACACTTCTGGGAGGGGGGAAAATTCCTCCCAGAAATCACCATAAAAGCCTTTATTCAACTTTCACAAATTGGAATTTTTGACAAGTATTTCCAAATTCATTTTACAATTTTGAAGATATTATATATCACATGCGATATTGCACAGTGGTCTAATTCCCAGTCTTATTATTTTGCGTGCTAAAGGATCACAACTCAGTGATGTATACAGGTTCAGTTTAATTTCAACCAAGAGACTGTCCTCATAGGAAAACAGTATGCCTACAGGAGGGACAGCTATCTTACTAACATCAAAAAAGAATTCAATCAATCCATTATGTGCAATTAAAGGGACAGATTTTAATAGCACTGTGACACATGAAATGGGTTATTGCAACAACATGAAATTGTTCTAAATAATTAAGGTTGCTTTAAGTATTTCAGTGGTCAACTTCTTTTTAATTCTAGATGACCCAGTAAGAACAGATGTATTAATCACAAAGGAAACAAATATTGCTCTGCTCTTCTACCTTAAACTCCTCTAAGTCAATTTAAAAATCATTACATGCATAAGCCTAGCTCTTTAAAAATGTCCAAGAAGGGAAAAAAAAAAGTGAAAACAGTATTAAAAGAGGGAGGCACAGGAATGTTAGGAAAGGCCATGTCACAAAGTGTCCTATATAGTTTCTTTGCCCTACAAACTTCCAGGAGCACAAGAATGATCTGTTGTAGTACTCTAAAACTCCAAAGATAGTTTAATTTTTAAATAAAGTCCGAATGACAGGAGTAGGAAGGACTGGTGTTAGAGGTAGATCTTCTTATAGATCTATTCCATATCTACATGCACAAACACCACCAACTTCTACTTAGTTTGTTCCCCTGTCAGAAGTTATTACCTCCACTAATCTGCTGGGAATCTGGGCTTATGAGGTCTCTCTAACCCACCCTAGGTGAGAACAGCCAGCTCATTCCAAATACTTCAAATGGTATTCTGATCTGACTTGACTAATTTGACATAAAGGAGACCAGGAAGAGTTTACACAAACAGCTCCCCAGCACATCAGTTAGGCTGTGAATGCCTTTCAGGATGGAGAAGACAATGTTCATCAACAGCCTTACAGTTAGGCAACAAAGTCGCTGGATCAATAGCTAACAGATCACCTATGAAGACGTAACACAGAAAATGGTCCCAAGATTTGGATACATTGAAACTAAATTTCACCTTTTTCCATCTATGCTGCCACACATTCACCATCACATGTCAAGAAATGACAAAAAAAAAATTCCAG